AGAGCGAAAACATCCAGATTGCTGGCAGCATCTGTTGGGTGAAGCTGTAGGCCATGCGTGGCCCCAGCATCTGCGTCACGATGACCTAAACGCAAAACCCTTTTCACGAGCAGAAATCCCTTCCTCGTCCACGTCATGGTGTGCTTGGACCTTGACAGTGGACTCAATCAAATCGCCTTCTACATTGCTTGTGCTTAAAATCATTCCAGAATACGATCGCTTGCCTGAGTAGCGCTCAGGCAGCGGCAGCAACGAGTGGTGCACTACGTTGGCACAGTCACTGTAAAGAACCGAGGGGTAGCACACAAACTGGGCGACAACACAGCGAGCCGAGTATTCAGCAGCCTGCGGTGTTTGCGGGAAGTGGGCCCAGACTGGCCCTCGAACCTCTCCAAGGCGCTTCCCGTCACCCGAATTCATAGATATACACCAAGCAGCACGGGACAGCTCACGAACTACGTGGCGCCGGCAGGACCCATCGAGGAAGAGGTGACCCCACATCCTACCGTTGGCGGGCACCACGGGACCCTCGGGACTCTGAAGCTCGTCAACATGCCGAGCATACAGCAAGGCGCTGGTGCCCTCCACGGCAGGACGCGGCAAGACATCAGCGGGATGAGCGAAAGCTCCACGAGTATAGAGGGCGACCACGTGGCTGTCGGCCTCAGCTGCCCAGACTAGCGCAGAGTCCGAGACTACCGAGGCACCTATCGTTAGGTCGGGCGTGTCCCCTTACAGGGGGATGTTGGGCGAAATGTCAAACATACCTCAAGAATGCTCCTAAAATGCGCAAGAGAAATATAAAAATCCTCCCCATACTATGTTTTGACTATTTTAACTACTCCTCCTGTAGAGGGACAGGCCCGACTTACGCGTATCGTGGCCGAACCATCCATAGGGGGCCACATGCGAACCCTACCCCTACCCCCCCCCCCGATTTCTGAGGGGGAGGGTGGGGTTCACTCCGCTCGGGAACTCCCGAACGAAGTGAACCCCACCCTCCCCCTCAGAAATCGTGGGGGGTAGGGGTATGGTTCGCATGTGGCCCCCGAATCCAATCAGGATGTTCACGCACATGCTCAGGACCACCGCGCAGACGCGCCTTCCTCCTACGAGCCCCCACGACAGCGCACGACCTCGGCGAGGCGGCGGCGGCCGCCAAACGAGAACTCGGCCACGCCCCACGCGCGGCGCGGCATCTCTCGGCCCCCTGCGCCGCTGCCTCTGCAGAGGGGGCACCGCGCCCAGCGAGGGAAGGGCCCGCACGGGCATCCCGGCCGGCCCGCCCCCGCTGCACTGTGGCGACGCAGCCGGGAAGGAGGAGACGCAGAAGCACGCGCCGACGGAAGACGCCGCTGCTGGGGCAACGGGCGAAGGGCCCTGGTGTGAGGATGTTCCCAAAAAATACCGAAACTCGAGGGTTTTCACGTGTCGGGCCCTGGGAGAGACACTCGTCCGACACTGTTTCGAGAATGTTTCGACACTCGTTCGACACTTTTCTGGGAGCTCGAAATTAATTATTGGATGTGGTCTTTAAGTACGATGTGAGCAACATAACCCTGGTGGAATACAATGGAGAGAGGAGCTCCCGCCACACGCGCGACGCTGTGGTCTTCCCGACGAGGACGCTAAGCACCCAGACCTGCAGTCCGACCTCGCCCGAGACGAACTCCCAGAGTCCATCCCAAGGCCGCTGCCAGAGGTCTAGAGGAAGGTCGCTCTGCTGAATGCGTCGACCCCGCCATGGGAGCTACATGGGCCTGTATGTTCGCACCGAGCCCATCACCGCCTCGCCAGGGATGAGTTCAGCGTGTAACTCGGACCATGGCACCGGTAGCACCTCTCCGCCCGAATCCACGGCCTGGCGCAATCAATTACGCGCCGAAACCCTGGCGTTCCTTCACCTCGCCGCCACGGCTGAGACACCCGCCCACATCTTCGTCGACAACCATGCCGTCGCCCACGGGTCCAAATCTCTCCTCGAAAGCGACCCCCGAAAACCAAGGGATCGAACGAAACCATCTGGCGGCCCAAGCGTAAGCTGGCATGTTCAAAAATCTGAAAATCGACGGCCACCTCGGGAAGCACAAGACTCACGAATGCCGCATCTCGCTAATTGCCGAAACCTTCAACCGTCACGCCGACGAGTTGGCTACAGCGGGAAACCCCGTGCACTCTATACCACGGAATGCCATCGACGCGGCCGAGTGGAGACATGTATCCGCGGCTGTCCTTCACAGCACTGCGGTCGCGATGTACGACCGCTTCCACCATGCTACCCCGCTCCGCGACAAACGAGATGGATACTCCAGGTCGGGACTTCATTGGGTGAAACTCATACTGCTCACCACGGGGGGTCGCTGGGACGAGCCCCCAGACCCACCCGGCGACCGCCCCCCCCCACCCACATGGCCCACGGGGGCCAGGGCACACGCAGAACCAGACGATCCATGGGACGTCCCCCCAAACAGCCTTGAAGATGACGAGGCGGACCCACTCAGACAGGGCGGGGGGCCCTCACCAGGTTGCCACGACAGCGAGGGCCACGACGTGGACGACAGTCCACCTCCACGCCAAAATGCCCGAGAGGTGGAGGTCCACCAGGGCCCACTGCAGGCAATCCGCTGCGACCCACGCGCAGCAACGCTCGAGGTGACCACGCGGGAGGAGGCTCGGACCCGCAGACAACCACACCCCAAGGGCACGTCTGCGCCGGTAGCGCCATCCGCTCGGGAGAGGGTCTGCACACGGCTATAGGCGGGGGGTCGCGGACTGCGCCCTCAGGACCAGCCCCCTCGCCTCAACCCGCTGGGCTGGCCAGTGCTGCTCCGCACCGAGCCCCCTGACGCAGAGCTTCCTAACACCAGGCCAACCCCCCCCCCGCCCCACCAGGGCACGGGGGCCAAAGGCCATTGTACTGCCCATGCTGCTCACCAGGATGCAGGTGCCCGATCGACCCCTGAGCAGCGCACCGACCAGAAAAGTGTCTTCACGCAGGGCCGCACTTCGGCCAGTCCAGCCTCTACAAGATTGCAAAACCGCGCTCCCCACAAGTTCTATGGCGCTTCAGCAAGGTGCCTCCAGACGCTGAGCAACATCCAAGAACAATCCAGACCCCTCCTCGACAAGTACCAAAAGAACAGTCCGCGTGGCACGACCTCTTACAGGCCGTCCGCACGCGTGTCCTCCCTGAAGCCACTCTCCAAAAACGTGTCCAGGCGCGCCTTGCTGCTCACCGCGAGCGCACTAGCGCTGCCGACCTCCTTCCTTTCACATTTCGAATACTGCGAGACTCCTGGCAACACGTTCCGTGTTCCCGGCACCAGGCTGCCGGGCGGAGTGCCCCAAGGTGGCGCCTTCATTTCTCACTAAACTTAGGTCGGGCATGTCCTCAACAGGCGGGTTTGTACGATGCATGAAAATACAAAAACACACACACAAAAAAAACAAAAAAAAAAAAAAAAAAAAAAAAAACATCGTCCCAATAGTATGTTTGACTATTTTGGAGGTTCCTCCTGTAGAGGGACATGCCCGACTCAACACTAAGCTCCGAGGCGCGCATGCCTAAGCGTGCCATCAGGCGAAGCTTCTCCGCAGCTTCGGGGGAGCAAGCCGGGTATCCCACGCCCTGGTCGCCAACACAAGCCGCCAGCCTTCCCAGTCGGGGTCCCCCTTTTCGGCTGCGACGGGGGGACACGTTCGCCACCCCTGCCGTTTGGTCGGGCACGTCCTCCTATAAGCGGATTTTGGAAGAACAAAACACCAAAAATGGTCAACCAAATCTACATATATATATATATATATACATATACACATGCATGTACACATATATATATATATATATATATATATATATACATGTCCAGGCTAGTTGTTTGGACCATGTGTCAATGTTCCTCCTGTAGAGGGACATGCCCCGCTTGACCCTGCCATCTACATGCGGCGCCGCCCGCCGGCGCGAGGGCAGCCCGAGCGTCGCCCGTGCCCGCCAGGCCCATGACACCCGCGGCCGAACTGATGCGACCCCTCTGTCTCTCTCTCTCTCTCTCTGGTTCTCTCTCTCTCTCTCTCTCTCTCGCTCCTACTCGCTCTCTCTCTCCCTCTCGCTCCCTCCCTCTCTCTCTCTCTCTCTCTTTCTGGTTCTCGCTGGTTCTCTCTCTCTCTCTCTCTCTCTCTCCCACTCCTGGGACCTTGCCTCGCCCCCCCCCCCCCCCCCCCCCCCCCAGGGCCAATGCTGCTGTGTAGGCGTCACCGCCTGGTGCCCCCCACCCCTTTCTCGGCCCCCATGTTTCAAACTCCCTCCCGTCCAGCATCCGCTTTTAGGAGCTGAGTTCTTCCGCTTCAACGACGCCCACCCCCTCCCTCTCGCCCATCCCCCTGGTGAGGACCGTGTTTAGGCCTCACACCCCGCGCAGCGTCCGTCACAAGGGCTGTGTGGGTTCCCACCCCGACCTATCATGACGGCGCCAATTTCCGCTGGAGGGGGCCGTGGGTTGTTCTAGGAGGGACCCTCGGCCAACGAACACGTCCCTAGGGGAAGGTCCAACGCAACTTCACACCTCTTCAGCTTCCATCACGGCGTCAATTGAACCCACCCGTTGTTCTTCCCTGCCTTCCTCCTCCTCCTCCTCCTCCTCCTCCTCCTCCTCCTCCTCCTCCTCCTCCTCCTCCTCCCGCCCCCTTCTTTCCCCCCCCCCTTCCCCTCCTCTCCCCCTCCTCCTCCTGCTCCTGCTCATCCACGTCGACCTCTACCTACACCTCCTCCTGCTCGTCCACATCGACCTCGACATCCACCGCCTCTTTACCTCCTTCTCCTGCTCCTCCTCTTCCTCCTCCTCCTCCTCCTCCTCCTCCTCCTCCTCCTAATACTCCTACTCCTACTCCTACTCCTACTCCTACTCCTACTCCTACTCCTACTCCTACTCCTACTCCTCATCCGCCCCCGTTCCTCCCCCTTGCCCCCTTTCCCTACCCCTTTCGTTCCATCGGGGAGGTGGCGCCCGTCTTCTGCATCACGTGCCGCCCTGGCAGGTCGCGCGTCCAGTAGGCCTTGCTCAGCCCGAAGTCCACTAAGTGCAGGTGGTGCACCTCACCCGGGCCCCTGGGGCAGCCAGCCCCTCCTAGGGAATCGGTTTCTATACACCTACGCTTTTTCCGACCCTGCATTGAAATTTGCACTGGAGAGCGGACCCTTGTGTATACATGTTTCGTCGTTTCCCCGGGCATCGAGGACAAAAAGTATACACCACACCACCCCAGCGTCGTCCCCGACCCTCAGAAAGTCCTGGGATTGGCAGACAGCCCGCCACTGGTACTGTATATCGGGGGCGGCCAAGGGGGGGGGGTCCAAGAGGGGGGGGTGCAAATAATGGCCGGCGGCATGTGCGCGGCCCAGGGGGGGGGGCCAGGGGCGTAATGAAATAAGAAGAGGCGCCATGAAGTCTGAGCAAAAATCATGGCCCACGCCATGAAATCCATTTCCCCCCCTAGTCATCACCCCCCTCTTTGCAGCCCCCGAGTATATGTTCCAGTTTCCGACCTCCGCCGCCCCTCACGGGGGAGAAGGGGGACCGGGGGGGGGCAGAGGGGAGAGGGGCTCAGACCGGAGGGGGAGCGACAGGGCGGGGACCGGCCCCGGGGCGGAGGGGGGGGGGGCACCGACGTGGAATCGGCGGTGCATCACCGATGGATCGACGATACAGTCGGACTTGATTGGACAGGACGCGCGAGAGGACACAAAACCCTTCCAAGGGCCACATTGCCATAGGAATGTAGGAGGCATGGGTCGCGAGATACAGGACACGAGGGTACCCTTGATCTGGCAGGGTCGACCTACTAATCCAGGCCGACTGTAGGCCCCCCGATAGGGAAAACTCACGTTCCTGGTGGGGTGGGTGACCCGGGCAATGCGTGGGCAATTGGGGGTCGCCCTCGACGATATCCGACGTCGTGGCGTCCACGATGCCAGCGGCTCGTTGCCTATGCGTTTCGGCCTCTGGAGAGCTCGCTCTGGGCCCCGGGACTCTGCCAGAAAAAGGCTCACGATAAAAAGCTGGCCCGAGAGAAGGGGTCGAGAGGTCAGGAGACCTGTACTGATTGAACAATCAAATAAAGCGTCAGCGGTCGGTCTGGGCAGGAAGGAGAGGGAAGCAGGCGGAAGAGGAGGAAGGGTGAGTGTAGGGGGAGCAGCCGGCAAAGGCCTCGCCATTGAGTGGAGGGGGAGTCTGAGAGAAGAAGGAAGGGATATGCACATCCTTCTTCCTCGTCCACCCCATCCCTGTCTCATCCTCCTCCTCTGCCTCCTCTTCCTCCTCCTCAACCTCCTCCTCCAACTCATTCTCGAGCTCCTTCTCCTCCTCATCATCATCCTCCTCGATCTCCTCCTCCAACTGCCAATCATCCTCCCCCTCCCCCTCCCCCTACTCCTACTCCTTCTCCTCCTCCTTCTCCCCCTCCTCCTCCTCCTCCTCCTCCTCCTCCTCTCCTCCTCCCTCCTCCTCTCCTCCTCCTCCTCCTCCTCCTGCTCCTCCTCCTCGTCCTCCTCCTCCTCCTCCTCCTCCTCCTCCTCCCCGTCCTCCTCCTCCTTGTTCGTATATTCTCCGTCTCCCCTCCCTCACAAGCCTCCTCGCCTCCCCGCCGCTCTGAAACATCTTTCCTCCCCGTGCTTGAATGTGTACCGTGATTGTCTCATCAATCGAGCATCAGGACTGAAGAAGGCGAGTGCCGCTGGTGTTGCATCATGATGGTCTCACATGAATTCCATCACACTGATGCCTTTATCCCTGTGGATCGCATCGACAAGTTGTTTTCCCAGTCGATCTCCAAGCCGGCTGAACAATTCGTCGTCAGAGCTTCGCTGTCACTCCGTGGTTGATCCTAACCACTGGTACGTCGTGTTCGGGTCGAGCCCCATGCCCATGCATTGAGTGTGGTCTACGAGATGTTGCCTCCATGCTGATGTGCCTGTCCATCTCGCTGATTCCCAAACTGAGACTAGTAGGCGAGATGATGATCATGAGCCTGGTGCGCTCGGCACTGAGCAGCAAGATATCGTCAAGGAGTGGTTTGTCGTCGGCCGTCGGTTGTCTTCGTTGTAGAGCGCACCTGAGTACACATCAACAACACATATGGCGGCTCCGATTCAGCATCAAAAATCTGGATATACCAACGCGAAAGAGAAAACCATCTCAGGTGGTATGTCCTGCAGCTCGGGGATTCGGAACCTGAAAGATGCAAGCGCCCTGTGTCTAGGTCAGTCTCTCAAAGCTGGAAGGTCGTTGCCTTTGTGGCAATCCAAACTGGTGGATGCCTTTGTGGCCGCTCTACTCCGATGCGCATCCTCTCCACACTCCCCTCCTCCTCCTCCTCCTCCTTCTCCTCCTCCTTCTCCTCCTCCTCCTCCTCCTCCCCCTCCTCCTCCTCCTCCGCCCTCCTCCTCCCCTCGCACAAAGCGTGCCTTGCGGTCGAGCCCGAACACGAAGTTCCTCGGCGTCACGTCCCTGTAAACGATGCC